CACAGAGCTCAAGCCTCTGACTCCAGGTCAGAGGCTGTTGTAGGTGTGACCTCACTGTGTTAGGTTAAGCCAGCTGCTGTATAACCTAACAACTGTGAAAAGCCGGATGAAGCATTGCCTGTAATTAACAGACGGCGATCCGTCTATGACAGGTTATACAGCAGGGAAAGCCTCCCTGCTGTGTAACCTGTCATGGATGGAGTGCTGCCTGTTAGAAGCCGGCCTGAATGGAGAAAAAGCTGTCAGCTTAAGACTTGAAGCTTACAGCTTTTTCTTCTGTAAAAGCAGGTAAGGCTCTGGCTCACCTGCCTTCCAAACAGCACGTCCCTACATTAATATCATGTCACCTCTTAATCTCCCCTTTTCCACAGTGAACAAGTTTAATGGTTGCAATCTTTACTCATAGCTTTGGCCACCTAACCCCTTTATTAGGTTTGTCGCCCTTCTCTGCACTTTTTCCAGCTCAAGGACATCCTTTCTGTGGAACAGTGACCAAAATTCAACCGCATACTCAAGATGAGGCCGAGCCAGTGTTTTTTAGAGGCATACTTATCAACATGTCTTTAGAGTACATACCCATTTGTATGCATGAAACTACTCCATGGTTCTTATTTGTTGCAGCTTGGCTTTGCATGCTGTTACTAAGCCTGCTGCCAACTAGAACCCCCAAATCTCCACCTCTGATTCCCCCAGTGGAGCTCTCTCTAGTAACTTGCATGCATATTTTTAATACCAAAATGTATAGCTTTACATTTTTCATTGACAAAAATCTTATTGGGTTTTATACAAACAGAACAAGCTTCAAAGAAAACAATAGATGACACATGTCAATACAAAGAGAGAATCATACAGGCAAAAATGTGTGCTATGTGGTACACCTCTGCAACAAAAGATCGTAAAGCCATACACATCAAAAGAAATGCCGTGGCGGTTACGGGGCAGGTGACAGACAGAAGAGTATTCATGACTACTGTCATCAAAACTTACATACATAACAACAAGACATACATTTTGAACTCGATGGACTGCATTAGATTGAAAAGAAAAGCGGGAAGAAGATGAAAGAGGTAAAATAACAGATAAATTACAGATAAGTATAAAGGGCTAAGAAAGTAGAGAGATGTAAATGCAAGCAGCGCTGGGGCTACCCGCCAATAGTCTTGCTTAGGAAACCAGGTGAGTCAGATCGCCGTCGGACTCTTCATGGATATGGTTGGATGGCCATATTGTATCCAGGGATCCCAGATTTTCAAAAACCGGTTCTGGGAGTCCAGAAGAATACTAGATTTTTTTTTTTCATCAGTGAAAAAAAAAGTAAATACTCCTCCTCACTTCAGCAAAGGAAACAAGTTGTTTTTTCCACGCTTGGGCTATTGCTTGCTTAACCGCTGGAAGGATAAAAACCACAAGTTTGTGTTGGAGTCTTTAAGGGACTCAGGTTTATAAAGTAACAGTGCAAACCACGGATCCCTGATAACCTGGATGTGGAAAAGATTCCATGACATGCAGAATGTCTGTGCCCAGAGTCTACCTATCATGTGACAGGACCAACAAATATGTAAGACATCCCCGTTAACAGGACAACCACGGAAACCAAAACCAGACTGCTGAGTCCTTAGATGGGCCTATCAGGCGGGGACCATCTCATTAAAGATTTGTATGCAGTTTCCATGGAAGTAATTTTAAATTTTTCAATATTAAACCTCATCTGTCATGTAGTTCTATATACAGACACATTCCACACCAAATGACTTAAAGGAGAACTATGGGGTTAGGGCTTTTCCCCATAGTTCTCCTAAGGTTAACGGGAGGACACAAACTAGCGCCCTCCCGTCACCCGAAGCTACAGCGAGCGGTATACTGAGCCGCTGCAGCTGAAGCGGATCCCGACAATTATGTCTGGATCCGCCCAGCTGCGTGAGTGACAGCTGGCTCTGCCTATCTAGAGGCAGAGCCAGCTGTACCCGCCCCCTCCCCCGTCCGTTCCGCCAGTCAGCGCTGGAGGATCGGAGCGGGGAGGGGGGAATCCAGCCCCTCCCCTGTCACGGCAGAGAGCCGTGACAGGATCGAGAGGTCAGTGAACGCCGGTATGTGTTCGCTCACCTCCCGATCTACTGAGCCGACCTGTGACAGCCTCATTGTCACAGGTTGGCTAGAACTATTAGGATGAGTGAAAAGCACTCACCTCATAGTTCTCCTTTAAGGTGGCACACAACACTTTGTTAATGTGCCATACGAAATAGAAAGATATTGATATATCCCTCCATATCGACCACTTGCAGTGTTGCTGCTCGCTGTTCACCCCTCCTCACTTCCTCCTCTCGCTGGCCACCCTTCCTCATTTCTTCATACAGTGCTGCTTCTCCCATCTGCCCTTCCTGACTTCCACCTCTAGTATTGCTCCTCATTGTTCATCCTTCCTCACTTCCTCCTCCAGTGCTGCTACTTGCTGGTCATCCTTCCTCCCTTCCTTCTCAAGTGCTGCTCCTCGCTGCCTGCCCTTCCCCACCTCCTCCTTCTTCCTCCTGTCCATTCTTCCTCACTTCCTCCTCCATTGTTACTTCTTGCTGGTCACCTTCATCACTTTCTTCTCCAGTGCTGCTCCTCACTGTCCAACCTTACTCATTTACTCATCCAGTGCTGCTTATTGCTGTCTGCCCTTCCTCACTTCCTTCTCCAGTGCTGCATCTCACTGTCCGTCCTTCCCCACTTCCTCCTCCAGTGCTGCACCTCGCTGTCTGCCATTCTCACTTCCTCCTCTAGTACTGCTAAACGCTGTCCTCCCCTTCCCCACATCCTTCTCCACTGCTACTAATCACTGTCTGCCCTTCCTCACACCCTCCTCAAGTGCTGCTAATCTCTGTCTGCCCTTCCTCACTTTCTCCTACAGTCCTGTTCCTCACTGTCTGCCCTTCCTCACATCCTCCTCAAGTGCTGCTAATCTCTGTCTGCCCCTCCTCTCTTTCTTCTCCAGTGCTGCTCCTTGCGGTCTGCCCTTCCTCATTTCCTCCTCCAGTTCTGCTCCTCACTGTCTGCCCTTCTTCACTCCCTCCTGTAGTGCTGCTCTTCTTCTTCACTTCCTTCTTCAGTGCTGCTGCTCGCTGTCCGCCCTTTCTCATTTCCTCCTTCAGTGCTGCTACTGTCTGCCCTTCCTAACTTACTCCTCCAGTGCTGCTCCTTGCTGTCTGCCCTTCTTCTCTTTCTTCTTCAGTGCTGCTCTTCGTTGTCTGCCCTTCTTCACTTTCTCCTCCAGTGCTGCTCCTCACTGTCCACCCTTCCTCACTTCCTTCTCAAATGCTGCTCCTTGCTGTCTGCCGTTCCTCACTTCCTCCTCTAGTGCTGCTCTTCTTCCTCACTTCCTCCTCCAGTGCTGCTCCTCACTGTCTTTCCTTCCTAACTTACTCCTCCAGTGCTGCTCCTTCCTGTCTGCCCTTCTTCTCTTTCTTCTTCAGTGCTGCTCTTCGTTGTCTGCCCTTCTTCACTTTCTCCTCCAGTGCTGCTCCTCACTGTCCACCCTTCCTCACTTCCTTCTCAAATGCTGCTCCTTGCTGTCTGCCGTTCCTCACTTCCTCCTCTAGTGCTGCTCTTCTTCCTCACTTCCTCCTCCAGTGCTGCTCCTCACTGTCTTTCCTTCCTCACTTCCTCCTCCAGTGCTGCTCCTCGCTGTCGGCCCTTCCTCACATCCCCCTCCAGTGCTGCTCCTTGCTGTCGGCCCTTTCTCACTTCCTCCTCCAGTGCTGCTCCTCGATGTCAGCCCTTCCCCACTTCCTCCTCCAGTACTGCTCTTCTTCCTCACTTCCTCCTCCAGTGCTGCTCTTCTTCCTCACTTCCTCCTCCAGAGTGGCTCTTCTTCCTCACTTCCTCCTCCAGTGCTGCTCTTCTTCCTCACTTCCTCCTCCAGAGTGGCTCTTCTTCCTCACTTCCTCCTCCAGTGCTGCTCTTCTTCCTCACTTCCTCCTCCAGTGCTGCTCTTCTTCCTCACTTCCTCCTCCAGCATGGCTTTTCTTCCTCACTTCCTCCTCTAGTGCTGCTCCAATATTAGTCCCCCTCACATTTGTCATCTTTGCAGCTGTAGCAACCAAATCGTATGCGCGGCCATTGCTCCTACAGAGTCAGAAGTTGTCAGTGACAGTTGCTACTATTTAAACAATTCCCCATATATGGCACTTTACAACTAGCACCTTCATAGAGTACTTATACCCCTGTAGCAATGGTGTACATCTGAGACCACTTTGTGCTTGATTTGTTTGGCGCACGCTATCAGACATTAAAATAAACAGTCGCACATCACTCCCTACGTGAGTTGGCACAACTGGCGGTACACCACACAGAACATGCCCTATAACATTGTAATTTTGTGCATGGAAAATGTGCCAATATTTACAGCACAAAACTGATGTATGTCCCTTTGTTAACCATATAAAAAAAGGGGGGAAAAAACCCCCAAAATGTTTAACTCCCCCACCCCCACGTTTACGCGCCTATAAACGTAAATATTACCATATTCAGGAAAATGCGTCTGTTGCAGCACGTTGCATTCCGGTGTGATTCATTTTCCAGTTCAGAGGTTTGCCTAGCGGGCACGCACGGGCAGAAAAGACCCGACCATTGCACACACCCGTTACCGGGTGTTTCACATATATGCGATCAGCTGCTCCATAGCCCGCCGATCGTCTATATGTGCTCGTTCGCTGCATGACGGAATAAATGTCAGTCAAAGTACCGCAGCGCTGAATACTGAAAAATGGCCTGGATGGGAAGGGGGTTTAACACCGCGGATGTCAACTGGTTAATAAAGAATACAGTTTCAGTGAAAACATGGCATTAGCAGCAACAAAATCGCCCTCTAACTTCCAACATAAAACCTCTATCTAACCTGTGTGGCAGCGCTCACGCTTCTGAGGGCCCTCTAGTGGTCATTTGTTATATTACATCTCATTCTTAGGTGCGCTCGAAGACAGCTGTTCTCCCCCTGGTGGTCTGTACGAGAATTGCAGCGCAGCTCCTCCTCCGTTCATTGACGTGAACTGGCAGCGCAGTAGGTTGTGCAAGATGGCGAGCAGAGCTGTGTCCGTGGCTTTGAGTAGGGCGAACAGGATCCAGGCCTGCGGGCCTAGTCTTCTGCTTGCCAGGTGAGAATCTGCAGCCATTGGATATCTCTCCCTTGCACGGAATAACATAGGCTGTAAGGCTTCGTGTGCTTTCTTGTAACTCGTGTACAGTCCTGATAGCAGATCAATACCCAGGATAATCGGATGTGCATGTCTGTGTATGTCGATGTGTGTAGTGTGAGCCATGCGTTGCACATTGATCTGGGTGACTATGAAATATATACAGTGGTCTCTGTGCCATGCACGTGTTCTGGCTGTAGACAGCTGCTACAAGCTCAAGCTCAAGGTCACTGTCCTGTGTATTACATCCTACACATGACTTGTTCTAAGCTCTGCACTTCCTTTACATCATACAGATACCTTACCCTCTATGGAGGCGACATTGCACAGGAACAGTATTGAACATGCATCTACCAGGGGAGAGTCTCCTTACATTCAACAATAAAGTCTTCTGATTTTACGTCTTTAACTACTTGCCATCCGGAGCAATTGTTTACTATTTGCACACACATGATCAAATTTGAATTTGTGGCTAGAAAACAGCTTCAGACACCCAAACAATGATGTATTTTCTGAAAGCAGAGGCCCTGTAGAATGAAAAGATGCTAGTTGCAATTTTTTTGTGGTATTTGCGCAAATGTTTATCAAACCAGTATTGTTAGAATCAAATACACTAAAATGAAATTTAGTGCAGAGAAACAGAATAAAATACCCAATTCTTGGGTAAGATATGAAAGATGGGGTCACGCCGGGTAAATAGATATGCCCCTTCTTCGGGACGCAGAAGCGATCTGGCGACAGGTAAGTCGCCAGGATCGCTTCTGTTGTAAAGCCGACAGTCGGCTCTACAAGTTTAAACAGACTCCCGGCGGCAAAAGTCGCCGGGAGTCTGTTTAAACAGCCCCGATGCTGGCGACGTACACTGTACGTCGTCATTCACGAAGGGGTTAAGATTGCGTTCACCTGTGAAGCCGCAAAACGTCAATACCCAACATTTACCATAGGGAACATTTTATAAAGCTTTTACCGCTCATCATTTTAGTGCTAACAGTGATTAATGGCTCTAAAATTTTTGCTCGCACGCCAGCGTTCACACCAATATGTAACGTGTAGCGCAATTTTCGTTTTTCCATGTAGGTGCGTGTTTGAAAATGTATGTGGGGTGCGGGGGACTTTAAAAATACATTTTATTATTTTTGTTAAACACTTCGTTTTTTTTACGCTAACCTTGTTGCTATCACATAGGGAGCTAACAAGTCCCCTATGTAATAGCAGATAAGGTGTGACAGATCTTCTTTATGGAGACATCAGGGGTCTTTCAGACCCCAAAGAAGCTGAGGAAGCAGAGATCTGCTTGCCCAGCTTTTTCTTCTTCTGGGGTCTTGTCCTTTGCTAAAACGCACAAAATGCATGATACCTGCAGTTCTCATATGCTTGGTTTGAAGTCTATGGGGGTAAAAATGCACTATGTAGCACCAAAAAAGAAAAACCTGAACCTTTTTCAGGGTCCCACTGCGGCACAACCTATAGGAAGAAACAGGTCCCATCACTTTTATTTCAGCCATTTTCATATTTGATGTGGTTTGTAGAGTTTTATCTTATCTTAACCAGTTGACATCCGCGGTGTTAAACCCCCCTCCTGGCCAGGCCATTTTTCAGTATTCAGCGCTGCGGTACTTTGACATTTATTCCGACATGCAACGCTGTACTAAATTTTATAAACAATTTTGGGGACAGATAGAGCTTTCTTTTGGTGGTATTTAATCACCACTGGGGTTTTTATTTTTTACTATCTCATATATTAGTTTCACCTTTTAAGTTGCATTAGTGAAATAAATGAACTTTGCACGATATTCTAATCGAGTTTCACCTGTATAGTAAAAAATCTATCCCTTTGATCTCCAGTGACAGAGCTGCTTTGCCGGTCCCGGCCTGCACCGGGCACAACGGAGCTCGAAATCGGGGTACTGAGACATTATCTCGGTCCGCAGCTGCAGAGGTCGGGAAATGTCTCCGTGCCTGTGATTGGCGCTGTCAGCTTCCTGGCGGGCTCGGCACGTGGAGCTGCGAACACGCCCGAGCCCATCACTAATGCTGAGTAGTAGAATGTAGTGCACTGTATGTCAGCGCTGATTGTACATGTTGGCATTCTGTGGGTCAACATGAAGAGTCTAAAGACCGGAAGTGAGCGTGCAGCTCCTGAAGTGACAACACTATCTGAGTTTAGATACGCTTTCAGGGCTTGTTCACGGTATGTTCGGATCATGTCCAGACCAGAACAGTTTGTTGCTGGACCAAAAAAGCATCCCAATATATCCTTATTGTATTTCTGGGCTCTGTTCACACCAGCGCAGTCCATTCCATTCCAAAAAATACTGCTCGTCTCATTGTCTCTGGTCTGGAACACATGGAAATGCATAAAAACATTCATACAAACACATGCAAGCGCAGTAGAATTTTTTTTATGCAAAGCTAAAAAAAAAGGGTTGTAAAAACACGGCAAAACGCACTGTGTTTGCAGATCTGCTCCGGACATGGTGAGAACATAGCCTGAGGCAAACTGATCACTTAGCATTAGTAGCTCACTGATTGCTTTTCATTTGCCTGAAATTCAGATGTTACCTGCAGTGTGACATCTGTAAACTGGGGCTAGAAATACATCGAACAAAACCTAGCCAGTGAGCCTGGGAATTTATATCCAGTACCTGTTTTCTTAAAGGGTATCTATGGTCAAAATGAAAACTAAAGTTCTATCCCGCTCTTAATAACCACATTGATCTAGAAGTTTGTTATCTGACTTGTTGAAGATGCCCATAGAGTGTACTTTGGCAAGTGCACTGACACCATTTCACTCAGCCCTGTGAATATGCACTTCATTGTGTCACCTATTTTGCAGCGTTTGCCTTCTGAACTCCAACTCAATGTCTGAACGATGTATCATTGTTATTGCTTGCTGGAAGCTATGCATGATGGAATATGTAGTCTTGAGAATTATTTGAGATTACATAACATCAAGCAGCAGGGAAAGACATACAAAGCACACTGGGAATCCAGGAAGCTGTTGGAAGTGATGGGCAGACAGAAGGCAGCACTCGCTACATAAAAGGGATTTTTTCAATTATGCTTGGATTACATTGTCAAAAACAACTCTTGTATGAATTCCTATTACTATGCTGATGTTATAACTGGATAGTATTTATTGTGATTTTACAAATCATTTATGTAAACATGTTCCCTGGATCCTATACGGCTTATTCACACCAGCAGCCATGCTCAACCACACGGCTCCTGGTGTGTGTGCCTGGACAGTGGCAGTGCGCTCAAGTGAGCTGCATCGCACTGTTAGCACTTTGTTTTGTTAGAACTAGAAATGTTGCCAGTGATAATTTATTACGTTCGATGGGCTTACTGCGGTGTGATGCGGTTGTACCATGTTTCACTGCGGACCGCTTAAAATAAGTACTGCAGACCCATACTTTTTTTTTTAAGCACACATCCCCAAAACACACAGTGCGAACTGTGCCCACTCATGACGTGGCAAATTGTCTTGTCTTGCATTCAGGCCGTGCTGGAAAAAAAAGCTGCTCATATGGTGTGAACAGGCCCTAAAAGTAACTGTTCCAGAATGCCATTTAATTTTGTCCTCTTATACTGTGAACGAAAATGGTATTTTAAAAATAGTATACTGGGTTGTCAGATTTGTCAAAAACAACCTATCTAATCATCTTAGCTTGAAAAGTATTCCAGCCAGAGGCACCCATTTGTATTATATGACAACCCTAGCAAATATAACCTGTATGTTCAGTGACTGGATAGTGTGCGTTGTATGTTGGAAAGTTCTTATTGAAATTGCTCTGTATTGAGCAATTTGCTCAATACTGTAATCCATCCAAATGCACAACATGCATTTATTGCTGTATTGCTCTGCTCTGTAATCCATCCAAATGCACAACATTTTTTAATGTAGCTTTTTTCTAACACTTAAAACATACATAATCGGAAATCACAGAAATAAGTGTGTACGTGAGGTCAATTACAGTTAAGACATTTGGTTCTGTGTTCATAATGTGTTTGCTGTGGTTTTGAATTGGATCCTGTTTTTTCTACTCTTTGTTTAACTAGTGCTTATCTCCTTTTGAGCATCACCACTAATGTGCTCATCCCCACCTAGGCAACCAAAATCTAATGAGTCTCCATGATGTATCAAAAATATTATAGGAATGGGGCCATGTATACTGTGGTCAGAATATAATTCAGGATGCAGTCTGTCCAATCCAGTAGCCAGCAGGATTTTTTTTAGGAGCCAGCTCTTTTGACAACTAAAGAAAACCTCAAAAGTTAGGAGCCAGCTGTCATTTTTAACGAGCATTACTACCTGACTCCTGGGATTTGTCCAGCCCTGTGTTAGTGTATATATATATATATATATATATTACAGGGCTAGACAAATCCCAGGAGCCAGATCGCAAATGCTCCTTAAAGCCTAACTTTTGAGGGTTTCTCTAGTTGTCAATAGAGCTGGTTCCTGGAATGAACAGATTGGCTCCTATATTCCATTTTGATTTGTCCACCCCTAATATATTACCTAAATACTGGGAAAGGATGTGGGATTGTAACATCATATTTTCAGGATTTAGCGCAGTCACACTTATGAAAACTGATTTCAGATTGGCTTTTGCATTTTGAACAGTTATCATAAGTTATTTGGTGTTGCTTTTGTTTGGATCTATGGTTTTCAGTCAGCTGTCATTGCTTCGGTCACATGCTGTAACAGTAAGGTCAAAATGTGTCGCATTCATGTTGTGTGAACGTTACTATGTGCACATCACCTCCAAAGCTATTTAAAGATGAACTCCAGGCAGACATAGAGAGACATTACTTTTACAGCTATTTAAAGATGAACTCTAGGCAGATATAAAAACACTATATAATCCAGTTATGTGTTCATTAACCAGTTCACTACTGGAGCAGTTTTTTCATTTTTTGCACACATGAAAAATCTTCATTTTTGGTTTATAAAACGTAAAACCCCAAAAACAATATACACTATATTGCCAAAAGTATTGGGGCACCTGCCTTTACACACACATGAAATTTAAGGGCATCCCAGTCCCTTAGTCCGTAGGGTTCAATATTGAGTTGGCCCACCCTTTGCCGCTATAACAGCTTCAACTCATCTGGGAAGGCATCCACAAGGTTTAGGAGTGTGTCTATGGGAATTTTTGACCATTCTTCCAGAAGCGCATTTGAGCGTTCAGGTACTGATGTTGGACGAGAAGGCCTGGCTCGCAGTCTCCGCTCTTATTCATCCCAAAGGTGTCCTATCAGGTTGAGGTGCAGGCCAGTCAAGTTCCTCCTCCCCAAACTCGCTCATCCATATCTTTTATGGACCTTGCCTTGTGCACTGGTGCGCAGTCATATTGGAAACCCATTCCATGAAGCTCTCTACACACTGTTGTTGTGCCAATCTGAAGGCCACACGAAGTTTGGAGGTCTGTAGCTATTGACTCTGCAGACAGTTGGCGACTTCTGCGCACTGTACGCTTCAGCATGTGCTGACCCTGCGCTATCATTTTAAGTGGCCTACAACTTCGTGGCTGAGTTGCTGCTGTTTCAAGTTGCTTCCACTTTGTTATAATATCACTAACAGTTGACCATGGAATATTTAGTAGCAAGGAAATTTCACAGATGGACTTATTGCACAGGGGGCAACCTATCACGTTGAATTCACTGAGCTCCTGAGAGCGACCCATTCTTTCACAAATGTTTGTAGAAGCAGTCTGCATGCCTAGGTGCTTGATTTTATATAGCTGTGGCCATAGAGGTGATTGGAACACCTGCATCCAATGATTTGGGGGGGTGTCCCGATACTTTTGGCAATATAGTGTATATTTTTGGAAAGTAGAGTCACTGTGCAATAAAAAGAAGGTAGTTGCAACTCTTATGTCACACTGTATTTACAACTGCTTATCAAATCTAAATTTAAGTAAAAAATTAACTAAAACATTTTTTAGTGCACACACAATATAATCCCCAATTGTTTTTATACCATTAAAGATGAGATTGTGTCGAGTAAATAGATTGAAAACATGTCAAGCCTCAAAACTGCTGGTCTATGAAATATGCTGCCCAAAATTATCAATATGTGACACCATACATGCCCCCACATTTTTTTTGTTTAGAGTTAACTGTAAATGAGGGATCTGAACTTTTCTCTCACTGTAGCATGCATATAAATGCCCAATATTGTTTGCAATTGTTTACATACAGGTGCACCCCCTCTTCACATATTTCCATTTTCTTTTTTTTTATTGATTATATTTTGGTTTTATTCTAAATTTTAACACCTTTTTAAAAAAAAAAATGTCTCCCTCAACTTTTTGCTTTTATTAGGACGCTAACAAGTCCCCTATGTGATAGGCAGATGACTGATACTCCTTATGCAGATATCAGGGACACCTAATGCCTCTCCTGCCCTCTGTTCCAGCTGATCAAGCACTGATTGTGCTTGATCAGCTATTTACCTTGCTTTGCAGATGGGATTTTGACAGGTCTGAACCTGGAAGTGCTCATCTGCATATTCCTCACTGTCCTCCAGCTCACCATCCTGACAGAGTTTTTTTGCTACTCCTGAGAGGAGCAGGAGAGCCTGGAGGGGGTTCGCTTAGGGGGCACCCTGTGAGTCCATTAGAAGTGATCAGGCAGCTCTACAGCCAACCATATCACTTTTAATAAATGGCTTATTACTTTTCAAAAATAGCTATAAGCCTTCTGCACAAAATACAAACAAGGTCACCTGTGAGCTTGTTTTGACACTTTAAGTACCTTGGGCATATGTGATATCAATTACATCTGAGCACGAAATGACACACTGTCATTGCGTTGTACAGGCTGAGCAGCCACATCTGTCGGGAACCACCTGAGATTCCTTCTGCAAGAAGCCACAGATGCCTTTAGTTTACTAATCTATGTAATCTTTCTGCAGAGGCCTTGCATCATCTAGCCAGAAAGCCAAAGAAGACAGTTGGCTCCGATCACTCTTTGTGCGTAAGGTCGATCCACGCAAGGATGCTCACTCAAATCTGCTGGCGAAGAGGGAGACCAGCAACCTCTATAAAATACAATGTAATTATTACAGTTCTTTGTGTTGCATGTTTTTCTAGTAGAATTGTATACCAAAGCTCATTTTGATAGTAACAGCAGGACACGTGGGAAAAATAAGTATCTATCTACGGGTTTTACAGTACTAGAACCCAGAATGTGCTGTATCATGAAACATAACAATAATATAGTAGTCACATAGGAGTCTGTTTATAAACAACTTTCATAGACTGTCACCCTGCAAATATGTGCGTGTTTTTTTTGGGTCGAATGTCAAAAACAAACGTTCTTAATATATTTTTTCCTAGTTCCACTGTAGGAACATTTTCACATTGTGTGCATTCAGAGTTATGCTGTGGATCCCTATAAACCATGCCAATGGGAGGAATGAACCATAAAAAAATATCATATTTGGGATAAAGGAAATTTGTGTTCACACCGCTTATATGAATATTTTTAACTGTACGCAATTGAGTTCAGTTTGGGCTTGATGCACCTAATATTTGTACAGCTGCAGCTAACGATTATTTTCAAAATCGATTAGTTAGCCGATTACTAAGTTCGGTTAATCAGATAAAAAATTCAATACATTTTACAAAATGGCTCCAGTGATGGGACTACTAGTTTGTATTGAGATTGTAGTCCATCACAGGAGCAAGCTTGGAGCGGTGGAAGTTAAAAAAAAAAAAGTGTGTGCAATATAGTGAAATGGAAAGTATAAAATTATACAGCAATCAATGCAGAATGGCACCGGCTATAGAGGACTACAAAACCCAACAATAGTACATTATACAGCACAATGCAGAATACCACCAGCTATAGAGGAATTCAACAAATCCCAGCAACAGTACATTATAGCTGGTGGTATTCTGCATTGCGCTGTATAATGTACTATTGCTGGGTTCTGTAATCCTCTATAGCTGGCGGTATTCTGAATTGCACCACTGTATAATGTATTATTGCTGGGATTTGTTGCACTCCTCTATAGCTGGTTGTATTCCGCATTGCGCTGTATAATGTATTATTGCTGGGATTAGTAGTCCCCAATACAGCGCAATGCAGAATACCACCAGCTATAGAGGAGTACAACAAATCCCAGCAATACATTATACATACAGTGTATGATGTATTGCTGGAATTTGTATTCCTCTATAGCTGATGGTACATTGCTCTGTATAATATACAGCACAATGTACCATTAGCTATAGAGGAATACAAATCCCACTATCCCAGCAATACATTATAGAGCACCATGTGTGGGAAAGTGCAGGCTTACCTGAGCAGTCTTCCAGCAACTTACTTCTGAGATTGGGCCTGTCTGTTGGCGGCTTTCATCCCCCCCACGCCTGCTCCTCCTTACGTCGTCTTCTCCCCACATCCTTGTGCCGATCGTGGATGTGGGCGGGCGGTGAGCATGAGGCGGAGAGGAGGTGCAGCACGCAGCGTGTGTGGAGCCGTGAACATGGCCAACTAATCAAAAGCCGATTGATCAATGACTGAAAATGTTGACAACGTTTTCAATAATCGATTTAGTCGATTAGTTGTTGCAGCCCTCTATATTTGGGCAACATGAATGATCTATATGGGTTTGCAATCTCCTCTTCAGACTCAGAGTTTCTTAGAGCCTATTCACACTATGTTATTGCTGTAACCTACATGGGCTTTAATGCAATACAATTTGCATTAAATTTGCTGCGATGCGGAGCCATCCATTCTGATTGACCCCAATGCACCTTGCTGACAGACTGCATTGTGGCTTAAATTCACTGCCAGAAATAGTACTTGCACCTTTTTGTGGTGCTTTAGGCCAGCCTTTCTCAACCAGGGTGCATTCTGGCTTCCTCAGGGGTGCCTTGGGCCAGTGCCAGCACTATGTAAATGAATCCAGGGAGGGTGGGATCTAGTCAGAAAAGGATGGAAATGTGCCTCTGTCCAAGTATGATATGTCTCCTGCTCTCTGTAATGTTGCCGCTGCTGCGGCTCCCAATGGGATGGTGGTACACTGATCTGAAGGGTGCTTCTGATGTGAAGGGTGCACGTGATGTGAAAGGGGGACTGTGATAGGGTGGGGTGTCTTGAGATTTTCCATATTTTGGAAGGGTGTCATTACTAAAAAAAAAGGGTTAAGAAACACTGCTTTAGGCAACCGATTAGCAAGTGAATGTGAATAAGCTGCCTTAAGGCAATGCACGGAAATGGTGTGAATAGACACTTAGAGGTTATTCTGGATAAATGTCCTATATTTCTGAACATTTAATATAAGCATTTTTGGCAAACATGTACATAAAATATTGTATGAGACTTCTTGGAACCATCTGCTTTGTAGTTGATCTTTTTTTTTTTGTTATAGTTCATAATGTAAAGCCAGAATGTCTAGAAGCCTACAACAAACTTTGGTAAGTCTCCTGCTATTCAGAATTATTCTCTTACACACATATAATATGTTGGGGCTCATGTGCGCAGGCATATGTTTGTGTCTGAGTTACTTACTTACCCCATACAAGTCAAATGTGAGTGCAGAATCAACAAAAGGGGCTCAGAAGTTGCTCCTTGAGTGATAACACCCGTCAGCAGTGCAGCTAACTTGGTCTACAGCACACGCTCCAGGCTGAGGCAAGGCCTGAGTAGCGATTAGAGATGAGCTCAGGTTCCGATTGAACCTGTTCGAACCTGTTAGAACCTATGCTCCTTTGAACCCGGAAGGTTCAGGTGTTGGCCGGGGCATTCCACGCCCCCCAAGCAGCTGAACATAAACAAAGAGGATGTGATGCTTTTGCTGACATACAGTTGGGCAAAAAAGTATTTAGTCAGCCACCAATTGTGCAAGTTCTCCCACTTAAAAAGATGAGAGAGGCCTGTAATTGGCATCATAGGTAGATCTCAACTATGAGAGACAAAATGAGAAAACAAATCCAGACAAATCACATTGGCTGATTTGGAACGAATTTATTTGCAAATTAAAAAAAATTAAATAAATATTTGGTTAATATCAAAAGGTCATCTCAATACTTTGTTATATATCCTTTGTTGGCAATGACAGAGATCAAACGTGTCCTGTACGTCTTCACAAGGTTGGCACACACTGTTGCTGGTATGTTGGCCCATTCCTCCATGCAGATCTCCTCTAGAGCAGTGATGTTTTGGGGCTGTCGCTGGGCAA